CTTGAGGGCTGGAACACAGGACTGAGAGCTCCCTGTGAGAGCAGACCCTGGCAGGGGCACCCCAGGGAGGTGGCAGGGCTGCCCCGAGCAGCTGTGGGCACGACAGCTCGCACAGGGATCCTGCAGGGACTGGTGGGTTTTAGAGTCACCGTCATTTATATCCTTTCCCAGGTGCTGTTTGTGACTTCAGCTATGGGAGGCCATTGGGCAGTGTCAGGCCTCCCAGGACCTGGTGGGGCCTGTGGTACAGGAGGCAGGAAAAGCACCGGGAAAGGATGTCACCGTTACCCTGGGGACGAGTGCAAGTGCGTGTAAAGGGATGTGAAGGTGTAGTGATGAGTGCCGTTGGGTGCTCTCAGCAGGGTCTGACTGGGTGCACGCTGTGCGCTCGCTGTCAGAGGAAAGCCGGGCTTGGCCTCTGCCACAGCTGCAGCTCCTGGGACCAGGGGCTCCTGGGATGATGGATGGGGCTGTCTGTCTCTGAAGGCCATCTCAGGCACAACCTGAGTTTGGGACTAGGACGGTGCCCCAGGCCACAAAAGGTGTACACGTGGGTGTGCAGGGCTCTGGTACGCTCCTCTCTCCTTTGTTGCCTGATGAAGAGGCTTGGGTCCCCCAAGGCCCTAGTTTGTTTAGACCACATGAGAAAGCACCGTAGCAGGGAGTGGGCCTACATCTCAAGCTAAAGTCTCTTGAGGAGGCTGCAAAAGGGAATTTCATTCGTAATCATCTGCAAAAAGCCTCTAAAACTCTCTTTTCCCCTCTCCCAGGGTCTCTCCCACCACTGGGGCTGCCTGAGATCCCTCCTCTCCCTCTCCTGAAAGGCTCAGAAGTCTCCAGACCCAGGCTGCCCCGCTGAGCTGCCCTCTTCCCCCCTGGGCCCTCAGTCCAGGCGGCTTCCATGCTGTCCATGCTTTGGTGCAATGTGCTCCCTAGCAGGTGTGCATGTGTGTGCATGCCGTGTTTGTTATGTATGTGTGCGCACTGTGCATACACTTGTGCACTGTGTGCATGCTGTGTGTGCTGTGCATGTATACACACTGTGTATTATGCTGTGTGTACTGTGCATGTGTGTATGCAGTGTGCATGCTGTGTGTGCTGTGTATGCTGTGCATGTATACACACCGTGTATGTGTGCTGTGTGTGCTGTGCATGTGTGTATGCTGTGTGCATGCTGTGTGCTGTGCATGTGTGTATGCTGTGTATGTGCTGTGTGTGCATGCTCTGTGCATGCTGTGTGTGTTGTGCATACTGTGCATGTTTGCACACACTGTGTATGTGTGTGCATTGTGTGTACACTGTGCATGGGTGTGCACTGTGTGCTTTGTATGTGTGTGCGCTGTGTGTGCTGTGTATGATGTGCATGTATGCACCCTGTATGTGTGCTGTGCATGTGTGTATACTGTGTGCATGCTATGTGCTGTGCATGTGTATGTGCTGTGTGTGCATGCTCTGTGCATGCTGTGTGTGCTGTGCATACTGTGCATGTTTGCGGACACTGTGTATGTGTGTGCATTGTGTGTACACTGTGTGCTTTGTATGTGTGTGCGCTGTGTGCACTGTGTCTGTGTGCATGATGTAGGGCAGTTGCAAATGCTCAGAAGCTAAAGTTTTTGTCTGAGGCCCCACAAAGAGCTTCCGACCTGAGCTGTGCTGACTCAGAGCTCCAGACTGTGCCCCCTGCAGGCTGGACCCAGGGTGGTTGCCTGTGAGGGCCCCTCAGGGACTGTGTGTGTCAGTGGGGCAATGGTGCCCCTCCCCTGGTACCTCCTGACCAGAGGGTCTGCAGCCTCCACAGTGGGAGAGGCCAGTGACTCAAAAAGCACCAGCTGACCAAGGAAACCACCCGTGGGTCACCTTCTGAAACCAGAACTGTGATTGTGGGGGAGTTGCCCGCAGCACATGGGCCTCAGGTGGCGTGCTGGGGCTCAAGTCCCCCCGGGAAGCAGTGACGGCACCGCAGAGCAGCTGAGGGTGCTGAGGTGCCTGGGGAGCCCACCTTTGTTATTTCATCCCACAAACAACAAACTTAAATTTCAGCAAACTGTATTCAAACCAGTAATAAATTTCATCCCAGCGAGCAGCATGGGCCAGGCTCAAGCCGGCAGGAGGATGTGAAGGTCATTTTCAGCCTCGAGCATCCAGTAGTTTAGGGATTAACCCAGGGAGGCTTCCTGGAGGTAGTGACACCAGGACTGGACTTGGAGACCCTAAGATTCCTCAGCCAACTTCCTCCCCACTGAGCTTCCGTTTCAACATCTGAAAAATGCAGGACGGTTCCAGTCAGCGGTTCTCGGCCTAACCGGCATCGGAACCCCGGGAGGCCGCAGGGTCCGAGGGCGTGCATGTAACATGTTCTGTGAGTCCGGGCCCCCATCCTGGAGGGAAGCCTCCGTGGGCCGGGCCTTCCCATCCTGCCGTGTGCCGGGACTGCCTTGAGCTCTGCCCTCCTGGCCAAGGGTTTTCAGAGGATTCTAAGGCGCCTCCAGGTGTCTGGCCAGGAGGCTCAGTTGCTGTGCTTTGGGAGGGAGTTTGTTCTGTGTGCCCTCCTAGGAGGGCAGCAGCCTGGGCCCTCTCATGGCAGGAAAATAATCTCGACTACGGTTTGCTCTGCACAGAAGAGAAGCTGAGGCCAGAATGGCTCAGAGCTCAGCCCATTGGGTCAGAGAGCAGGCTGGGGCGAGGGACAGTGGCATCATTGCAAGGTCAGCACTGAGGGCCAAGGGAGCCTTGCCCCGGGACGGGGAGGGCACGTGGCTGCCTGGGGAGGCAGGCACTGGGGCAGGGCACCTGCTTGCCAGTGACCGGACAGGGCACAGCCTGACCATGGCGCCACCAAGGCAGGAAGGCCCGGCTCCTCCACTCCGACCTCAGCCCGCATGCCCTCCCAGGTGGGGCAGTCTGAGCAAGGGTGTGTGAGTGTGAGTGTGTGTGTGTGTATGTATGTGTGTGTGTGTGTGTGTGTATAGGTGTGTGTGTGTGTGTGGGGGTGTGGGGGGGGGTCAGGCCATACCTGCAGCATGAGGGAGAGCTAGCTTTCAAGGCCTCAGGCTGGTAAATCCCCAGAGAGCCCCTTCCCGGTGCGGCTGCTGCCTCAGGCAGTGAGGACACTGCTGTCCAAGGGCTTGACTCTCCCAGGCCTCCTGAGAGCCCTGGGGACAGTGGCGTGAGGTGGGACCCTCTGCTCCATCCCACATGGCCAGGCCACTGGGGCAGCCCCAGCACGGGAGCACCCAGTCCCCGGACTGCTGCCCGACATCTACGTGTAATAGGCATGTCGAATCCAGCATGCCCCAACGCACGTTCCAGATCTTCCCTCAGCCCCACGCTCATGCTTTCCCCGTGCTGGTTAGTCACCGGGTCGAGGCCATCCTGTGGTGTCCGAAGTCGGCCCCTCCTCCTCTGCTGTTGCTGGCGGTGTTGGCAGCGACGTAGGACCTCGGTTCTAGAGTTCGGCAAATTCTAAGAGTTTATTTAGAAAGTTGCAGAGGTAGTAGAAGGGCCCTTGGAGCTTAGGAGGGAGAAAGGCAGAGGTAACACGCTGGGGGGAAGGGAGGGAGGGAAAGGGAGAGGCCCTGCTGGGTCTTTCTATGGAGGCTGGCATTGCCTTAGCTGGTTTGGCTCAGTGGATAGAGTGCTGGCCTGCGGACTGAAGGGTCCCCAGTTCGATTCCAGTCAAGGGCACATGCTGGGGTTGCAGGCTCGATCCCCATTAGGGGGTGTGCAGGAGGCAGCCAATCAATGATTCTCATAATTGATGTTTCTATCTTTCTCTACCTTTCTCTCTGAAATCAATAAAAATACATTTTAAAAAATAAAAATAATAAAAAAAATCAAGGCTGGGCATTTAGGGCATTGAGGGGAGGATCTCAGTAGAATATTCACCAGCTTTAATCTGATGAGCCAAAATGAGATTGATTCCCCTGACTTTGTCCGTCCATGGGTGTGGTTGGCAAGTGGCACTAATTGGGTTTCTGCTCTCTGTCCCTCTGAATAGGGTGGTTTAAGCTATTTACCCTCTGGTTGGGAGGAAAGGGGAAGCCATCTACTCTTAAGTGTCCTTGCTTAGGGGAGATAGGATTTTGGGATTTACTAGGTGGCTGTAAACTGGTGGGCTGGTTAAGTATCTGTCTCAGTTTCCCTATTCCACTTGTCCGGGCTTACTCCCTGTCTCAGCACCACCTGACCGGCGCAATCTCTCCACCAACTGGTTTTCAGGTCCCTCATTTGCTGGGTCTCCACATGGCAGCCAAAGTGACCTTCACCCTGAGTCGGGCTACTCCTGTGCTCAGAGCTCCCACACCTCCTGCCTTTTTGAGAAACAGCAGGCTGCACTCTGGCCCTGGGCGTGTGCACAGCCCGGCTGGTCCCTCTTCAGACCATTCTACCTGCTTATCCCCTCCACACACACTGGCCTCAGGACCTTGGCACCTGCTCTCTCTATGCTTCGAATGTTCCTTTCTTATCCCAGAGAGCTGCACAGCTGGCGCCATCCGTGTGTGCCAAGGCCCCCTACCCGAGGCGGCCTGACCCACCCCCACCTTGCGTGCTCACATTCTCCCCCGGGCACGGGCATTGCTTTTTTCTGCCAGTGCGATCTAACCCCAGGGGGCATGGCTGTGTGTCCCGTCACCTGGAATGAGGCCTGGTGTGCATGGAGCAGGTGCTGAAGACACCTAGCGCTGCACACCCGTCCGCTTGAGCTGATGTCCATGATTAAAAAAAAAAAAAGATTTAAAATTGATTCTTAGAGAGTGAGGAAGGGAGAGAGAAAGAATGAAACATCGCTGTGAGAGGGACACATAGACTGGCTGCCTCCTGCATCTGCCCTGACCAGGGATCGAGCCCGCACCTCTCAGTGCACAGGAGGATGCTCAACAAACTGAGCCACAGCGGCCAGGGCTTAAGCTGACGTCCGATGGCACCCTACTCGCCGTGAGGGCCAGGGGGGACCTGGCGGAGGCTCCTTTGATGCCTTATGGCCTGTTCTTCTCTCGCAGGAAGCTATGCCCCAGACGTCCATCATCTGCTCCAGCGTACTTGGGCCCAGCTGTAGTGGACAGGTGCCGCCTGGCATGGGGGAGCGAGGAGGTGGGGCCAGCGGCTCCGGGGACCTCATCTTCCAGGATGGCCGCCTCATCTCCGGGTCCCTGGAGGCCTTGATGGAGCACCTGGTCCCCACAGTGGACTATTACCCTGATGTGAGTGCTGGGCCTGGAGAACGGTGTGGTGGGGGAGGGGGGTGACCTGGGCTGCAGGGGAAGCTGCTGCCTGACTGGGAGGGAGTATCAGAGGAGGGGCATGGCAGGCCAGGGGGAGGGACTTCCCTGTGGCCCCCAGGAAGGTGGAAGATGGCCCTGGTGGTGCCAGCAAGCGACAGGTTCTGTGAAGGGCCCGGGGGAGGAAGAGGAGTCTAAAGGGCCAGCAGGTGCTGTGGAGTCCTGTGAGGCCTCACCCTGCACGTGTCCCATCCCTGAGCTGGGAGGTTTGCTTTGTGCATGAACCGCCATAGTCCGAAGTGAAGAGGGGACAGCCCTGCACGACCGCCAGCATTCGGACCCGCCAGCCCGCACTGCAGGGGCCGCTTCCACCTACCGTCCAGATCCGCCCCCTTCACCTCAGCATGAGACGGGCACGGCCGGACCAGACGGGACCAGAGAGAAAGAATTCCCTTGTCACGTGTGGGTTCCTCTGCCTCTGGGAGCAGCGGGCCTGCCTGCTCCCTTTGAGAGCCAAGCTGGGCTGGCCCTTCCGGTGCCACTTCGTCCCCAGGGCAGAGCTGGGCTTTCTGGCCTTTGTGAGTCAGGCGTCGCCTATGGGACGTGGGGGAGAAGCCGGCTGGCGTGGCTCAGTGGTTGAGCGTCGAGGTTCAATTCCCGGGCAGGGTACATTCTCGGCTTGCAGGCTTGATCCCCAGTGTGGGGCATGCAGGAGGCAGCTGATCAATGATTTTTCTCTTATCATTGATGTTTCTAGCTCTCTCCCTCTCTCCTTGCCTCTCTGAAATCAATAAAAATCTATTTTAAAAAAGAAGGTGGGGGAGGAATTCCCTCCCCCCCCATGCCCTCCAGCTTTTATCTGATGGTGCTGGAGACCATTAAGCTTCCGGGGAGTCCTGGCCTACCCACCAAGTCAGACACCACCTCCCTCCTGGGGTGCTGTCTACTCTTCCATCCACACCCCCCTCCTTCCTCCACAACCCCCTCCTTCCATCCACAACCCCCTCCTTCCATCCACAACCCCCTCTCAGGGCCTGCTGGCAGGGCCTGCTGGGGTTGCTCCCTGCCTCCCTTCAGCCCAGATCTGAGGAACCCTCCGAGCCTGCACTGCAGAGCCGGTGGTAAGGGCGCATGGGGGTGGAACAGGGCCTCGGCGTGGTGGCTGGCACAAGCCCACTGCTGGTTAGTGACTGCACAGGGCCTGGCAACAGTCCCTGACAGAGGTACAGGCCCCACCCCCCTCCCATCAGCCAGGCCCACGGGCAGGCCAGTGAGGGTCTGGAGAAGAAGCTGGCTTGGAGCCAGGCCAGGGAGCACGGTGGGTTGGGCAGCAGGCTCGCCCAGGCCTGGAGAGTCCTGCCAACATCCAAGGCTGGTTAGCGCCCATCTTGGGGTAGGACGGAGGGTGAGGAGAAGCCCGTGGAGTGAGACTGCTGGGAGCTGAGCTCACTGGGGAGGCCGTGAGCCGCTGCGAAGTGGGGTGATCTGTGCCTCGCATCCACGGGCATCCACGGTGAAGTAAGCCACGCGGAACCACGACCGCTGCCTCGCGATGCTGGGCTTGGGAGCCAGCAGGGCCGAGGGGAGCAGCAGGCATGGGCCCCACCAGGCTTGACCCACACTTCGCCCTCCCTCCCTCCCCTTTCCTTTTCTTCTTCAGAGAACATACATCTTCACGTTTCTCTTGAGCTCCCGGGTCTTCATGCCCCCTCATGACCTGCTGGCCCGTGTGGGGCAGATCTACCTGGAGCAGAGGCAGCAGCTGGAGGCCGGGTCTGAGAAGGTAAAGGCGTGCTGACCCGATGCTACCTGTCCGGTGCCCCTGGCTGCCCCCCGCGCCGCCTCCAAGAGAAGCATGCTGAGCGCCAGCTGGCAGCATCTGGCTGAGCCTGGCCGGGCCCTCCCTGATGTCCTGGGATGTGCTCACCTCCCAGGGTGCTGGCATAACTGCTGTGGTGGGCATTCACCCCCCTTCCTGCTCAGGGCCAGTACCCTCCAGTGGAGGCCTGGCTCCATTGGTGCAAAAGAAGCCAGAGGGGCCTGGGTCCCTGCCTCCTCTAGGGGGTGGGGTGCAGCACCCCCAGGCTGGGGTCTGCTCCTGGGAGTTCTCAGCGACTCAAACAGGGCCGCTTGCCACTGTTGTCCCTTCTGACACAGCCAGGCTGTGGGCAGTCAGGATGGTCAAGACTCCGCAGCTCCGAGGCCCTGGGTCTTAGGTGAGGTGTTAGAAGCCGAGGGTCTGGGGCAGAGGGTGGCAGGCAAGCTGTCAGCCAGCTGGCAGGGCCTCCTGGGGCTGCGCAGAGCTGGCCTGACCCCTGACCGGGGACTGATGGCCCTCCCTCCACCTTCCCGGAGGCCGTGCTCGGCAGGATGTGCGGCAGAGGCCTGTGAAGCTGGGCCTTCTGAGTCTCCTCCTGAGAGGGGCTGTCCCGGGCGCTGTGGGCACCATGGGGACAGACACTGGCTGAAGCCTGGAGTTTCTGAAAATGAGTTCACTTAAGTGAAAAAGAGAACTACCTTAAGGGTGTCAACTGATGGTCGTTGGCACCAATTCAATGCCAACGCGAATCTCTAATTAGGGGTGTGGCAAAGAAGGAAACTTTATTCAGTGCAAGCAACTCAATTATGAAACAGTATGGCTGTGGCTACAGCACAGCTGTGGGCCAGCTCAGGATAGTGTCACAGCTCAGTTCTGAAGCAGCACGGCGTGAGGTGGCTCTGGGTGCTCTGGGTGCTCTGGCCAGTCATTGATGTTTCAGCTCCAGCCAGGGAAACACAATCTCCAGTGGAAGGGGAAGGTAAGCCCCCAAGCAACAGGGAGCTGATTTATATAGAGAGAGTTCCCCGCCCCTGGTCCCTGATTGGTCTGTCCTTATGCAAATGAGAACTCCAAATCCTCACAGTTTGATTGGTCCAAAAAGCACTGTCCTGATTGGCCAGAATGGAGCGGCTCTGACTGGTGCTAATGGAGATATAGCTGTGCAGCTCTGATTGGATGGGGAAAGTGTCGGTCCTGTTGGTTGAACTAGGATTCCAGGAACTCCTTTATAAGGCTTGGCTCCAACGCAGGAACACAGTGCAGATGGGCAGTTCAGTGTAGGCTTCTCCCTGACGTGTGGCTTGCGTGAGAGACCCCGTTTAGAAACAGTTGCCTGGCTGTTTTTTAAAATTGTGAGCCCAGTTAGCTCCCAGGAGCCCTCTGGGTAGGCATCTCCTTTCTCAGGGTCCCCAAGGCGAATACGCAACAACGCAGGTATGACCAAACTGCCGGTGGCCCTGTGGGGGTCGTCCCGCGAGCACGGCGGGCCTGGGGCGGTTTACCACTCGTCTTGTCACTCACTCTGGTGGGTCGGCCCCACCTGTGCCCACCCCCAGGCCATGCTGAAGTCCTTCTCAGCCAAGATTGTGCAGCTGCTGAAGGAGTGGACAGAGGCCTTCCCCTGCGACTTCCAGGACGAGAAGGCCATGGCTGAACTGAAGGCCATCACCCACCGGATCATGCAGTGTGACGAGGTGAGGGCCTCCCTCGGCTCAGGTGGAGCTCCGTGTGTGTGTGTGTGTGTGTGTGTGTGTGTGTGTGTGTGTACACGCGTGACAGGGGTGAAGGTTCCTTAGAGACAGCTTGGCCCTGCTCTGGCCCTCAGATCCCTTCTTCCCAGCACAGCCCGCTAAGCCACCTGTGCAGAGGGCCTCAGAGGGCCCACACTGTGCCCCACTCCGCCAGGCCTAGGTGCTCAGGGCAGGTTTGGGTCGGGCATGTGGGCTCTGCGTTGGGTATGTCCCCAGAGATGGGGCGGGTCCTCCTGAGATGTGTGGTCTCTCCAGCCCATGCTGGCACCTCCATGCTCCCTGCCCGCAGGAGAACGGCACGGTGAAGAAGGCCATTGCCCAGCTGACGCAGAGCCTGCTGCTGTCCCTGGCCGCGCGGAGCCAGCTGCAGGAGCTGCGGGAGAAGCTCCGCTCGCCGGCTGTGGATAAAGGGCCCATCCTCAAGGCCAAGCCCCCGGCCTCTCAGAAGGACATCCTGGGCGTGTGCTGCGACCCCCTGGTGCTGGCCCAGCAGCTGACTCACATTGAGCTGGTCAGTGCGCGAGCCGCTCAGAGCGGGCTGGGTGCGCGGACTCCTGCTTGTCCAGAGCCATGAGAGCCCCCACAGCTTTCTCAGTGTCAGCACCACAGGCTTCCCTGCTGGGCGGGCAGGGTGTCGGGGAGGCCCGCTTCCTGCCCGATCACTGCCTCTGGCCGATGTGTCCACCTACAGCAGGTTTCTCTGTGCCTGGCCCCCAGGCCTCCGGGGGCACAGCAGCCCTGTGTTAAGGGGAGGGGGAGGGTGGCCAGGACTAAAGTGGCCCCAGGATGGAGGTGAGGGGCTTCAAGGGGGAGAGCCAGTTCTCCCACCCTGTTGCCTCATCCCACCTGTCCCCTGGGTGAGCAGGTCCCCTGTACATGGCAGCCACGGACCCGAGGCTCCCACCCCACTCCTTCAGCCCTGCTCCCTCCGCTCCAGAGGAGGGCCTTCCAGGCCCCGGGGTGCTTGTGGAGGGGCCCGGGCAGGGATTGCCCCCTGGCGGGGTGCTCAGATCAAGGAGGGGCCCTTGCACACGCCCGCAGACTAGTTCTGACCGCTGCTCCGAACACGTCCTGCACGCCGAGTGGGGGCCTCGAGGCCGGAGGCTGATCACTCCCGTGCTGTCTCCCGCCTGCCCCAGGAGAGGGTCAGCAGCATCCACCCGCAGGATCTGATGCAGATCGTCAGCCACACGGACTCTCGGGACAAGCACAGGGTGAGGGGCTGGCCTGCGGGTGGGCCTGGACCTGCACCCCGTGCAGGGTGGGCGGAGACCCCACGCAGCTCGCCTGAGCTCCTCTGGAGTGTCTGAGCCATGGATGTGGTCTGGCTTCCTGGCACCTGCTCCAGGGGGTCAGTGGAGGCCACACAGGGAGATGCATGCTGGGAGGGGGCCCAGTATTCCCAGGGGCTGGGGCACCCAGCCTGGCCTCCAAGGCGAGCCCTGGGCATTGTGGAGCCAGGCTGGCCGCGGGGACCTGTCCAGTTGCCCCCACTCACTATCACTTGCAGTTGCCTCCTCGGGACAAGGTCCCTGCCCCTCCATTCTGGGCCAGGGCTGGGCAGCAGCGCCAGCAGCGTCCTCGGGCTTCCCCTGACCTGCTGTGTCCTCCCCAGTGCCGAGGGGACCTGACCAAGACCTACAGCCTGGAGGCCTACGACAACTGGTTCAACTGCCTCAGCATGCTGGTGGCCACCGAGGTGTGCCGGGTACGCACCGCACAGCAGCCACGGCAGGGTGGCCGTCTCCTCCCCACCCCCACAGGGCTGCCCGAGACACGCTCAGGTGCTCCTGCCCCTCAGACGTTGACAATTTGCAAGTGGAGATAAGGAGCCTCCATTGCCAGGGCCTTGGAGCTGCTGCCCCTCTGCCCCCCACACGTCCGACTGTGATGCCTAAAATTATGATGGAGACCCATCACGGAGTGTACCCTGTGCCCAGCACAGTCTATGAGCTCATCCGGGGCCCCTCAGTCCTCTCGCCATCCTCCTGCCCACATCAGACACGCCACAGCTGTGTTTCCTGCCTCTGCAGCCCCCCACCCCCCCCCTCCCCCGCCACCCGGGTCTGACAGCTCTGTGGGCCCTGGGGCAGCTCCAACCAGAGGCCCTCAGGGGCGGGTGGTGGAGGGCGTGGCCCTCATGGGGCCCACGCTGAGGCTGCTGGCTGCCGCAGGTGGTGAAGAAGAAGCAGCGGACCCGCATGCTGGAGTTCTTCATCGACGTGGCCCGGGAGTGCTTCAACATCGGGAACTTCAACTCCATGATGGCCATCATCTGTGAGTGTCCGGCCGGGCTGCCCACCCAGCTCCTCTCTGACCCACCTGCCCGCCCTGACCCTCCCCGCTTTTCTCTGCAGCTGGCATGAACCTCAGTCCTGTGGCTCGGCTGAAGAAAACATGGTCCAAAGTTAAGACGGCCAAGTTCGATGTCTTGGAGGTAGGCACCGGCCTCATCCTGTGTTGGCCTGAGGAGGTGGGCCTCCACCACACTGTACCCTTTGCTCAGGGCCTGCTGCCCGCAGTGCAGGCTGGGGCTGGGCTGTCCTCGGCCCTGCCTTCAGTCAGATCTGGCATCACCTAAAGCTGCTTCTGGGGTGGGGGGTAGTTGCTAAAGAGTTTGACAAAAGTGGGCCCCTGAGCCCTGCAGTGGTTGATGCTGACTCAGCAGACGTGGACCTTTTCTTGGCCCAACTTTCCGAGGCACTAGACCCTCCGGGTGGCCCGGGGCTGACGGTGAGTTCACGCACAGCCTGGCCCAGATGTATTTGATCACAGAGTTCGTTTTTTTGCAAATGTGTGTCTATGGAGCTGGTCGGAGTTGGGAGTTGTCGATCTAAGCAGGGGGGCAAAGGAGGGCTTGAAAGGAAGGGGAGAGAGCAGGCCCAGCAGGGCAGGGAAGAGGCCTGGGGGCTGTGCGGCTTCTCTGCAGCTCTCCTGTGATGCTCAGACCCAGACCCAGACGGCCCTGCGCTCAGCCGGCACCTCTGGGCCCCCTCCTGGAAGGGAGGCCTTTCATGGGTGACAGTCCCAGTTGCCCAGAGGGGAAGTGCCTTCCTCATCAGCGGGCTCTCTGCTCTGCAAAGGGGGCGGGGGAAGCGCTGCCCACCACATGCATCCTCCCCCCTCCCTCCCTCCCATCCGCACACAGCACCACATGGATCCTTCCAGCAACTTCTGCAACTACCGCACGGCCCTCCAGGGGGCCACACAGAGGTCCCAGATGGCCAACAGCAGCCGAGAGAAGATTGTGATTCCTGTGTTCAACCTTTTCGTCAAGGACATCTACTTCCTGCACAAAATCCACACCAACCACCTGCCCAACGGGCACATCAACTTCAAGGTGAGCTCAGCCCCATTGTGGCCCAGAGGGAGGGCCGGGCTGTCCCAGCACAGAGCAGGGCAGGCCTCCCGGCCGCCCAGGGCAGGCTGGACCCACCTGTGCAGGAGAGCAGCAAGGCCATGGCCCTGTGCAGAGGGCCTGTAGGACTGGCAGCTCCAAGGTGGTCACACTATGTGACCTTGAGCTGTGAGTTTGGCCCCATCCTTCTGGGTGAGTGCCCTGGTTATAGGGCCTGGAGCCACAGGAACCTCCATTCGCCCAGGACACTGGTCCTGACACTGGTCCCACTGGGAGAACCAGGAAGGCTTTAGGTAAGAGGGACTCGAGCAGGGAGGAGAAGGCAGCAGAACTCCAGATGGAAGCAAAGGCCTGTCTGGCCAAGGGCAGGAGGGTAGGACAAAGGCGCTTGGGGAGGTGCAGGGGGAGCTGTGTGCTCACCTCACACAGGTCAGGGTGGGGTTGGAGAGGTGCAGGGGGGGCTGGGTGTCCAGTGCTCACCTCACACAGGTCAGGGTGGGAGGGGGTTATGGATTCCCACACGGGCCCCAGAGAGTGGCATCATGACGTGCTCAGATTGGTGGTGCTGTCTGATCTGGCTGGGCTGCCTGCCTCAGCTCGGGGCCAGGGGTGGGGCCCTATTGGGGTCCCTGAGCAGGGGAGGCGCAGACCCTGCCGCCAGCCTGATGGCCCAGGTGGAGGGCAGGACGGTGTGTGCTCTGGGGCGCCTGCTGGCTCTGATGCTGCACAACGTGCTCGTGGCCACGCAGTCAGCTGTGCAGAGCCTCCGCCTCCGGTGCTGGGGCCGGGCAGGGAGCAGCACTGGCCCTGACCGAGGTGACGGGGACACCGCTGTCCTCTGCCCCTGCAGAAATTTTGGGAGATCTCCAGACAGATCCACGAGTTCATGACCTGGACTCGGGTGGAGTGTCCCTTTGAAAAGGACAAGAAGATTCAGAACTACCTGCTTACGGCGCCCATCTACAGCGAGGAAGGTGAGGCCGCCCCGGCTGGCAGCAGCCCCCACAGCACCTGGCCCCGACTCCTCCTTGTTGGTCTCTATGGGGGGCTGATCACTATCCCCACACCACACAGGGCAAGCCCGGCCACAGGTGAGTTCGTGAGGGGGGGTGGTGGGCAGAGGACAGAAGGAGGGTAAGGACAAAGGAGACCAGTCTCTGAGGCCACTTGAGAGCCAGGCAGGTTCGGGCCAGCGCTCAGAACCTGGCACCAAGCAGGGCCCCGAGCAGGTAGCTGGGAGCGCAGGGCCTCGAAGGGCCTGGGACCTCCCACGGCAGGGATCTGTGGACGAGCCCCAGCAAAGGCCACTGCCCCTGGGTCTCAGAGTCCCTTCTTAGCCTCGCTGTCCCTGCCATGAGGGCTGGAGAAGGGACAGCGGGGACAGGGTGGGCTGACTGCATGCGGACATGTGTCTGAGCCACCCTCCGTCTCTCAGCACTTTTCATCGCCTCCTTCGAAAGCGAAGGGCCCGAGAACCACATGGAGAAGGACAGCTGGAAGACCCTGAGGTAGGAGAACTGAAGGGGCCACCCAGGCAAGGAGGGGAGAGGACGGGGACGGGCACCATTGACCTGCCTTCTGGAAGGCAGCCGAGGGCACCTCCACGCGGCGGGAGGAAGGGGTCTAGGCAGCGGCCGGTGGAAGGAGGCTGAGGACCTGGGTTTGAATGTCCTGCCTCCTCCCCCAATGGCCCGGGCCTGGAGTCCAGGCCTCCCGACCGCCGGGGAGGGGCCTGCCAGCCGCTGACCGCTGTGCCCGTCCCCTCTAGGACCACTCTCCTCAACAGAGCCTGAAGCGTGGGTGCGGCCTGTGACCGAGGACACGCACGTGAACCGAGCTTTAACCTTGACCTGGGTGGAGATGGGGCGGCCTCACTGGTTGGGGCCCATTTTGTATATAACTTTTATGGAAAAAATGGTAATTATTTCATGCATCAACCTTTGGCGCAAAGTGTTTTTGTTCCTTTTAAATAACAGGGCAGCGCCCTGGTTCAGGGAAGGGTGGGGAAGGAGTATCATGGGAGATGGCATCCATGATAACATCTTGGCCTAATGAAGTGTAGATTTTTATTTTCTACTTTTGATTATATTCGCCGAATGAGAAAATATTTTAAAAAACCCAACCAAAACCAATGTGAGCCCTGCCTGCTTGGACGCCCCTCCAGCCAGTGTCTCGGATGTCAGGGCTGGTGCCTTAGAGGGTCCCAGAGGCGGCCCGCTCTGCTCAGGCCGCTGCGCCCGCGGCCGGCGGCGCCTGCCCGCAAAGCCTGGGCCCACGAAGCCTGGGCCGCAGCTTCCAGGTTCCCACAAGGCCTTGGGAGGCCAGGAGGTCTCGTTCGCAAACTTCTGGAAGCAAACCTTTGAGTGCGGGCTTTCCAAAGTTTACATTTCCTTTTCCTTTATCAGGGATTTCTGAGGTCGGGGGGGCGGGGCAGGGGGACACCTGGCGGCATATTTTTCTGTTGGAACATGTCTGGCCAATCTTTCTTCAACTACATTTTAGGAAAATAGAAAATCTAAAATAACGAAAGGCGAGGGAGTTGTGCAATTGTCCGTTTTCTCGGTGTACGTGGGACACACTCTGCCCAGCATTGGGAGGCAGTTTCCACTCCCGACGCACCGAGCACCCTCCACGGCGACGTCCTGGCCGTGGACGGGGCCGCCCTGCTCCCTGAGCGGGAGGTGGCCATCCACGCGGACTGCGTGGCCCTATTGGCGGCTTTCCTTTGTGGCGCTCCTCACCCTGGTCTCTCCATACGCCTGGCTCTGCAGGCGCCTCCAGCGGGAGGCCTGCCAGCTGCTGCTCCCACCGCTCCCAGGACACCCGGAGGCGCGGGCCAGGCCTCAGGAAGGGGTGGCTCTGTGGTCGCTGCTGCCGTCGCCTGTAACTGGGTGGAGCGAGAATATTCACACTGTATTGTCACAGTGTCTTTGCACTTTCCAGATGTCCTAGATAGTACATATTGTATATTGATAGTACATATCGCTTTGTTTATGTATTTGAGATAAAGGCTTAAACCTGAGAGTATATATTTGGAATACGCGTTAGAGCATTTTCTGTCCACGTGTAAGGAGTTTCCCGTCGCCCCCACGTCGCGGGGCCCAGTTGTGTGCTCACCTCACCTGTCTGTGCTGCCACTTCATCCTCCCAGTTGGGTCCATCTCCTGACTGTGATGTGTTGGTATTTTGAGATGAACTGTGAGCATCACGCTGTACTGTAACACAGCATGTCAGCTGTTGGTGTGACTGGACATACTTGCATCAATAAAAGAACATGTTGCTCCCCTCGTGTGCCTGTTCTCTGCAGCCGGGCCGGCCGGCTCTGCCAGGGCCCCGCGGCCTTCCCAAGGGGAGCAGGCCGCTCTCACCCACACCGCTTCCTGACAGAGGGCTTCGCGGGTGAAAAGTTCGAAACAGCACTTCCCCAGGTGGCAGGTTCCAGTCGGCGGTCCTCAGAGTGAGATCCCAGATGTCAGTGGCTGCTGTGTGACACGGCCATGTTCAGTGTGGGAAACCCAACTTCAATGAGATTGTCAGGGCTCCTCTACTGCAGGACTAACCGAACATGCAGAGTCGAGGGCTCTGTGGTCTCTTCCGGGGCGGGGGAGGCTGGGCACCTGTGGCATCTCCCTAAAGGGCAGTTTGCAGAACGCAGTCCTGTTGTAATGAAGCGCCTTCAAGAGCACTGAAGACAAGGGGGTAGGGGCACGTGAGGGCCTGTGGGACTGAAGGACAAGGAGACTAGGAGGGAAGCCGAACTCCCACCTGCTTTTCTCTGGCCGGTCCCACTGCCACCTGTTTACAGTGCCCGGGCCCCACGAGGTTCACGGTCAGAGCTCACCAACCCTTCCTGCTCCTTAGAGTAACCAGCCCATTTGAATGTGTGCAGGGTCTGTCGTGCCCACTAGACTAGCGCTGCCCAACAGCCCCTTGTGCTGAGACGGAATGTCCTGTGTCTGCATGTCCTTACAGCAGCGTGAGTGACACAGCAGCTGTGAGTGACACAGCAGCTATTGACACAGCAACATGAGTAACACAGCAGCTATTGAGTGACACAGCAGTGTGAGTGACAGCAGCTCTGTGAGTGACAGCAGCTGTGAGCGACACAGCAGTGTGACACAGCAGCTCTGTGTGACAGCAGCTGTGAGCGACACAGCAGTGGGAGTGACACAGCAGCTCTGTGAGTGACAGCAATTGTGAGCGACACAGCTGCTGTGACACCGCAGCTATTGAGTGACACAGCAGCTGTGAGTGACACAGTGGCTGTGACACAGCAGCGTGAGCCACACAGCAGCTATTGAGTGACACAGCAGCTATTGAGTGACACAACAGCTGTAACACACCACCTATTGAGTGACACAGTGGCTGTGAGTGACACAGTGACTGTGACACAGTGGCTGTGACACAGCAGTGAGTGACACAGCCCTGAGCATTGACATGCAGCCAGGCGACCCGGGTGTGCGTTTAGATAGCTGGTGGCCACTGTACTGGACAGAAGGCTGCCTCCTTCCCCAGGGCCCATGGTCAGCACACACTAGGTGTTCAGGGGCTTGTGGAACAAACAAGAACACCTGTGAGGATGTGAATTTGGGGTAAATGGCATCACTTTTTAGGTCTTTAAATTCAGTGGCCTCCTGATGTCTTGATAAAGTTAATTTTGGAAGTTTCTACCGGTCTCATCTGAGAAGAGCAGCACATTTTGGGTCTGTGTCTTGAACATGGAGCTTTGGCTGGGAGTGGACAGCGGCTTGCTTGGCTGGCTGGCGCTCTCCCCGTCACCCACAGCCAGGGAACTTGTTTGGAATTTATGCCCAGGGCCCCACGGCACACCTGGGCGTTGGGCAGCGGGGGTGGCGGGGAGTGGTTCTGCAGGAATTAGCTCCTGCTCACCCTCACAACCCCTTCCAGGAACCATCTCAGACACAGCACCCTCAAACCGGCCGCACGCCTGCACCGTCCTGACAGGGCCGTCCTGTTCTCACACATTCACGTGCTTGGAGCCTCCTCACATCTTCCTGGTGGGGCACGCTCTGCTCCCCCAGGCTCCGTCCTCCTCCACATTACCCTGCTGGCGCCTGCCTCCTGCACATGCCTCGGCTCTCGCTGTGTGGGAGCCCCGTGTGTGGCTAGAGGCCAACCTCGCGTGCAGTTGCTAACAATATCATATGATGACTGAATGTCACCCCTCACTTCACACACATTTCAGGCACAACTCTGTTACAGATCAGATGTGACTGGAAGGTAAGCTAAGGATCTCCACTAAGGCCAAGGAGACTTCTGTGACAAAACTAAGATTATTTGTGAAATATACACTTACTACCCCTGTGAGTAAAATGTATGTCTGATTTCTTAGGGAGGCGAGAGAGGCTACCAGGTGTACTGGTTAATAATGCGGATTCTGTAATCAACGAAAACAGGATAATTTCAAGAGAAACATCAGAAGTGCTTTATTCAAAGTAATGTCCCTTGCTAGCTACACATTTCCCCCATCTTTCAGGTAATTTGTGGATACCGTCCCAATAGAACTTTTCTTGTTTTGAGGCAAACCATTCAGAGACCCAATTTTCCACTTCTTCGTATGTTTTGAAGTGCTGCTCAGAAAGTGCGTGTGCCATTGATCGGAACAAGTGGTAATCTGAAGGAGCAAGGTCTGGTGAATACGGTGTGTGGGTTAATACCTCCCAGGCAAGATCTTTTAATGTGTCTTTAACTGGTTTTGAAGTGTGTGATGGTGCATCATCATGAAGCAAAATTACTTTGCCATGTCTTCTGGCACATTCTGGTCGTTTCATGATCAAAGCATGGTTCAAATTGATTATTTGTTGTCGGGAGCGATCAGTATTAACAGTTTCACCTGGTTTTAGAAGCTCATAATACACACCTTCCTGATCCCACCAAACGCAGAACATTGTCTTCTTTCCAAAGCGATTTGGTCTTGCAGTCGATGTTGATGGTTGACCTGGATCAACTCATGACTTTGTGCATTTGGGATTCTCAAAATAAATCCACTTTTCATCGCCAGTCACAATTCAATGCAAAAAAGACTTTCTTTCATGCCGTTGAAGCAACATTTCACTGATGACTTTTCGGTTTTCCATTTGTCTTTCGTTCAGTTCATGTGGCACCCATTTTCCTTCCTTTAAAATCTTTCCCATTGCTTGTAAACGATCGGAAATTGTTTGCTGAGCAATGTTTAATCTTTTTGCAAGTTGTTTTTGAGTTTGACACGCATCTTCATCCAATAATGCTTGTAATTGTTGGTCTTCAAATTTTTTCAGTTGACCTGGATGTTGTCTTTCACATCGAAATCATCACTTTCAAAGCGTTTAAACCAGCGGTCACAAGTATCTCGAGATGGAGCATGTTCACCATAAGCTTCCCGAAGTATTCAGCAGCACTTTTCTTCAAAATAAAGTAATGAATTAAGACTTCCCACAAATGTTCTTTTTTTTTTGACATGAAATTTGACATTTTTAAGCGTAAAAATATCTATGATGTTAACACCTTCAGAAAATTTGCCATATGAAGTTTTGAAGCTTGCTGTCTATACAACAAAATAGCATACATATCAAATCGCATATATATCAACATATGTCTAACTCCATCAATTGAAAAGAATCCGCATTATTAACCTGCACACCTGTAAATGTAAGACAATTTGAGTTCCAGTTCCCAGTTCCCAGCAGAGTGCCCTTGGACAAACTTTTTACATTTTTATGTCTCTATGTTCTCGTGATGAAAGTGGAATTACAAGGCTCTCCATCTCATGGGCTGCTGTAATGTTATGTGGCAGGAAGCATGCACCTGGGTCCTGAGCAGCAGTGGTGGTAACTGGGTACACGCAGTGGCACCTCTGCTGGCCCTGAAAGCCGCGCCTCCTGCAGAGAGCAGGTGCTTCTGGGAAAGGTGGAGCACAGGACTGCAAGTGCCCAAAGGA